AGTCCCTTCTTCCGGAAACCAGGGACATACTTCTTCTACAAATTGCAAAAACTAATTGTATTGTTGCTGGCCCACTTTGGCCCCTCTTACTCTAAGCATATTCTTAAGCATATGTACAAAAAGCAGCTGGCTATTTCCTTGGCCCATTTTCTTTAAGTTAAGTTTCTGTTTCAGTTTCTATATTACAATACTCCTGCGTACTTACGGTTGGCCGCAAAAAACGGACAGAGGAGCTGAATAGACACTTCTCCATAGAGGACATACAAATGGCCAACAAATATGTCGGAGCCAGCTGACGAAGTAATTGAGGGTACCTGAAAGGGGGAGCATGGACTGAGGAAAAGAAAGAAGACAGACAGAATTGCAGGAGGGATCACAGAATCAAGCTGTGTCTGTGTCCCCGAGTTTATTTAGAACACACTATTTATAACATTACAATAAGAAAGACAGTAGTCAAGAACCAAGGTTAGCCAGATTACTATATCTAGTAGAACAATGAGATTCTTACAACTCAGAACTCTCTGCTAAACTGTAGCAAGGAATTTGCAGTGATTGCTATGTGAACATTTACCTCCCGGTTTTTCCCAGCGCTTTACAATCTCAACTTCTTACATTGTTGCCAAGTACACAAATATCCTTGTTCCTTGTTATACGATTTCACATGTCCATAAGTGACTCCCCACACTGGTCTCTTGTCCAAACCTGTAGTTAACTGTTCCCTTTTTCTCAGACAGGCTGAAGGACCATTATTCTCATACATCTTTTCACCATTCTCAAATTTATCCCTTATACTACCACTTTGCTCACCTTATCTCTGATGTTGACAAGTGTCATGAATGAGAAAGCATGTAAAACAAACAAACAAACAAACAAACAAACAAACAAACAAATATAGCTACTTTGGAATACTGAGCTGTGAAAGGGAGAAGGAAATTAGGTCAGTAATGGGGTCAAGGAAGAATTTTTTTGCCTGCTTTTTAAAGCTGGAAATGACAAAGCAGGTTGGTCTGCTAATGGGGTTAATTCAGTAGATTTTGAGGTGCTGTTTATACAAAAGAAAGAACTATCCTGAAGGATAAAAAGTCCTTTGAAAGGGCACAGAAACTAGAGCCTAATTCAAATAAGTATCCTTTGATAAGATGCTGGAAATGTCCTCCATTGTAACAGGACTGAAAATAGAGGAAATGAAGTGTACAGATGCAAATACGTTAGTAGGTTGATCATGGGAAATTGAAGAATTTTATAATTAATATCTTCTATTATGTTATAAATAACACCTTTTAGTGAAGAAAATTATAAGATTATTAACTGAAACTAAAGAGGGACAGTATAACGGGGAAGAGTTTGAAAAAGTTGAAAAGGAAAAAGTTGCTTGCAATTCTTCTCCAATTCCCTCTTAAATCCCTTCCATTCAGGCTTTAGCCCCTATCATGCTGCCCAAACCACTTTCCCCAAGTTTCTGGAAGTTCTCCCCATTGCTATAAATTCAGCTTATAGCTGATCTGATGTGACATATCAACAGAATTAGAGATAGTTGGTCACTCCCTCCTCTTTGGTATATATTTCTCCAGTGCCTTTGCTCTCTCAATTTTTTTCCAGGACAAAAACAGGTTTTAAATGCCTGATCCTCTTTTTAGATTCCCATTTGCTTTTGATCTTGCCTCTCAATTTTTCGCTCTTATTAGCTCATCGATGTTTTTAATAAAATATTTTCTAATATTTTCCTCAACTTTGTTATTGCCCATTGTGGGAGGATTGCTTTGAGTTCTCTAGCCACCATTGTCACAGGTGGAAATCCACATAAGAACTTTTTACTCATTCCATCTTATCGGAATGTTTTTTATCTAGATATGCACATAGCCAGCTTTCTTTCCTTCTTGAGCAAATCTATGTCATCTTCTAATGTCGCCTTCTCTAGATTGACCATCCTATTTAAAATTGTAAACCCTCAGTGCTCTTGACCTTCTTTAAGTTGGGTGGTCCAAATATACATACATATAAACTATGTTTGGCAGAAGCAAAGAAGATTTCCTTTGGAAGAGTGTATAACCCTAGGCTTCAAATTATTTCTACTCTTCTTTTTTATTGTATTTGTCATGTTCTAACATATGACATAATTTACTTTTTTTTTTT